ATCAACGATAAGGTTTGTGTTCATGTGTGCCTCATCGTCGTCTAACAATTGGAGTTGCAAACTGTTTCATCTGATCGATTCTGTAAGAGATTAGAAAGATTAGTTCTTATGTGATGAAACTGCAGTTGTTAGATTGCTTTTAGTTAGCATTGTTTCAGGTGTCGCAACGCAGGCGATTCACGCCTATCTATATAATTATGACGATGTGCTTTTCTGACATTGAAGTACAGCTTCTCGGAGTGTGAATGAAACTTCGGTCAGCTGAGTGCAGTGGAATCGTGCCTGTTTCTTGTTGCCTTCACGATTTTCAACGCCAGGCTAAGGAATTGGCTATTCACATCACACACAGAAATACAGGTATTCATATCCATTCATCCAGTCACAGCATTACAAGCAGTTGTGTTCAGACAATCAACTACATGAGGACAATGAACAGATCCCAGAAAACCAAGAGACAATTGGAAAGTCGTAAGAGCTATTCAAAGACACCAAAGTCTTTTCCAGTTTAACGCAAATTCCTCCAATCTCAACACAACGTACTATTAAGTGTAAACGAAGGTGTTAGTTACAGTGTGTGTGTGTATAGTATGCATCTGAATAATCTGACCACATCAAGGGTATTTCCTATACGACCTACATGTTTTCATCTAACACCTTACAGTATCCTTTCTTTGATGTGAAAGAAATGATAGGTCTGTTTGCATACGGTGTCTGTGTTTGTGAGTATTCCTCGATGTTTCGGATATTCTACTGCTACCCACCTCCGATGACTGATACCAAAACACATGTGCTTTCATTCTCATATATCACAAACGATGCTCAGACTCGAAGTGTGACGTACGTGAATTTCAGTGACACCATTTTGTGAGCTGGACTTGACATTCATATCGCAGACAATACAACAAGCACGCTATGAATATATTGCACATTTCAAGGTGTGCATACTCTCATCACCATTCTCATCTCACTTTCATCCCATCTGTTACATTGGTTAGAATTATTGAAAACTGATTGACTGTGCCTATATCAACCGAAGAAGTCAGATCTTCACATGCCTGTCTAAGTTTTTACCATAATTTTTCTATATATCGGATGGAATTTCATGCAACTTTGATTGAAAAGCAGAAGTTCATTTCTTCAGAATTTATCATCCAATGAAAGTGTGATATGACTCAATAAACATACGAGATCAACTCATCTTTGTTATTCGAAGGTCAAGCATTTCCCTGATAAGATGTACCCTGTACTATGTCGTGAAACGTACTCGGAAAAATAATTCAGCTTGTTTCAAACCGTTACTAATGGTTCGTGCGATGCCTTTCAAAAGACTTTTCTTTGAAATGGTCAATGCATAGTATTGATCGCTCCAGACGATGCCATTTTTTGTGTAGTTATATTTTGTTTTTCAATCCTTTGTTGTGGTATACTGTGTCACCTCTAACTACATGAAAATTCATTATGGTAAGCAGTATCTCAAGTTTTCCTAAACATCATCATAGCTTTTGTCTGATATAATTCTGTCTTCGTACAATATTGACAAACTCATGCGGAATAAATTATCTTGGTGACACACAGTTGGGTTAGTAAGTGGACTTGTTGGCAGGGTGTCACTTCCGGAACTTTTTGGAAAACTCACTGTAAGACTGTCAGTAGAATCTATAATGGCTGCCTGAATTTATGTCACTTCTACTGATTACTTTTACAGCATCATAAACACAGTGGCTTGGTATTTCGTCTGCTTACACAAACGTGTAGAAGCGGAATTTGAGTTTGATCTCCGAAGCACCATGTTTAAAAAATGCTATCCAAATATGTGGTTCGTTCCTTTGCATTGTGGAGAAGCTAGAGGAATGGAACAATTGTTGGTACCTGGTGAGGCTCTAGTTATTAATTCAGTATACATGTATCTTTCGATAAAATGATGAAGAACCCTCTGACTTTTTGGATAAATATCATAAATACTGTTCACTTTGGAATGACTCATCCTATGAAGTATGATGTAATCAATGACATATTCATCTTATAAGTAACAAGTGATTTCTATATTTGACAACATTAGGTATCTAAAGATTTTTTGGATAATACATGTAATGTCAAAACCAATATTCTCTGTAATATTGGATCAGCATTTTACAGATGACTCAACTTCAAGTATAGCTTTACAGCAGCTACTTTCAATCTGTGGATAACAAAGTCTATTTTGAGATGTATAGATGGACATTGCATTACTGAAAGCTTTATGCTGCTTGTTATATGTGGTGATGTCTACAGATGTTGTTCAAAATTGTTCAGCTCATCTCTGAAACAAACTGCTGTTGGAGGTATAATAAAGATGAACATTGATGTATTTGAATGTTTCCTGCAGTGCACGACAAAAAAAAGATATGCGACTATTGTCTGAAATCATTTTCTGTCATTCTATCAGATTATATATTTCTTCTTTTCATTCTTTGATGTGCCATATAGTGGTAGTGTCATTTACTGGATGATGATTCAAATAATAAGTATTCCGCATAGTCGTATTAAGTCATCACACCACTTTTCATACCTGAGAATATTAAAGTTCTATCGCCTTGTATTCTTTGTCTTCAGCTGCAGTCGAAATTTCCACAACACCCAAAAATGTGTTACACCATTCCTATTGTATGTATTGGATGTCTGTTCAATGAGTACAGTTTCGGCAATCAATCGAGTACAGTCGTCTTGTCCTAGTATATTGTGTGTTTGTATACCAGTGGATATATTACAATATTTGAGTATCTTCCAGATTACTGATTGTAGTGAGGTCAGTTATTAATAATTCGACTCAGTTAATATTCCCCAATAATTTAAGTGACCTCGATCGATTGGTGTAACGTGAGCCGCTTCGTTCACTTGGAACGTCAGTTAACAAAAGGAACAATATATCCCTGTGAGCCACTTTAAATGAGTAAACATCATGTATAATAACAAGCTATCACAGTGCAAAAGCTTTCAGATATTGAGCCTATACCTGGTACTTTGACAAATTCACCTTCAATAATTAATCGCTATACTCTGTGAGAATTCGTTTCGCCATCAGTATCAATGACATGCACATCAATTTCCGCAGTTGTTACTAAAGCGTACTTGATTATTCCAGGAGCATTCATCCAGATGAACTTGTAATTTGTCAGATACTCATTTAAGGATTCGCTAACAATGAAAAATAAATGAAACTAAACTTGTCTTCGTAAACGATTCTCGTTATATCCGAGAATTTTAAAAGACAAAAAAGAATTCGACAAACTGGAATCCTTGGAAAATTACTTGGTTGATCCAATGGGTCGAAAGCTGGTCGTGGGTTCGATTCATGCCGCAGTCATGCGAACGCACAATTATCAATGTTGGATAGTGGCCGTACGTCTATTGTGAAAACATTGAACATGAAGTGGTCGTAAACTAGTGAATCATGATTCGACTGTCCACAATGCCAACTGCCCTCACTCACTCACATAGATAAGAATCTAATCTATCGTCTATGTGTTCGCATATTTTTCAACAAATGTAGAATATCGTGATGTCATGGGGGAGATGTGTCTGTTCTCGAGAATGTGCTTCCCACAAATTGTACACTCTTATCGAAACATGTAAACTGAATCTGTGTGCACGAGAAGAGAGACAAATTTGATTGCTTACTTGACTTCAAGTTGTTGAGCACAGCTAGAACCACTACAGCAACATTGTGTGACATATTAGCAAAACGAATTCCACTCACATTCACGAAGAATAATTCAACATTGACTCACATGACTGCTCACAAGTGATGACCACATGACTCAGTGAGTTGGACACTTTCCCAAAACATCCGGGAGCATTTTGGGAACAGGTGTGTACGGGTGATTGATATTTGTCAAAAAAACAAGGAAGACCACAGCTCTCGTTTCATCAGGCTCCACCCATTCAATAGTGTATACCGAGAGATTCTGACACTCAGAGCACAAGCAAAACCATCTACTCTTCATGGTACGTCTGTCTGTACAACACTGAATACAGGATGCCTGTTATCAGTTGTCATTCAAGTTAACATGCAACGAAGCATAAACTGCAATTGCTGCTGGTAGTTGAAGCTGTCATAAGTACGTAGTAATCATGGTATCACAGTGTTCTACTAACATGTCAAACGTTGTTCACTCGTTCGATGAACGTGTGATTCCACCTTGTTCGTTGAAATATACATCGGTTAAACGCCTATAGCCAGCCTATCAGTGTTTGTTGATCACTGCCACTAGAAGACATTCGATAATTCCACTTTCTCCATGTCTCAATACCTCAAACTATCAGTCAGTGAAATTATTTGTCGTTGATAACCCCATACTCTTTGCAATTATAACTACTCGTCACTTCAAGTGTACTTCAAGTGTTCACTGAATGTGATTAGATGTAAAATACTGTAGACACGGGATATGTTTGACTGAGACTGTAGGTTAATTTGAAATTCGACTTAGATGCCACATGTCATGTGGAGTATGTATTCCTCTTGCCAATGTGGAGCTTAAGGATAATAGCTATCTGTAAACCATCCCATTTATCACACCAATGACCGGTTGACTGTACAGTATGTTGCCAAATATTAATTCACTTTTCAATTGACATGCCTACTGGTCACGTTTACATATATTTTATATGTAAATCTGATGTGAATATGAAGACTCAGACAAGCTTTCTGGGAAAATGTAGCTTGAATACAGTGGGTAATTGCAAGTCAATATATTTGAGTAGAGGTTAATACAGTATGCAACAGAGTACACAGGATCATTGGGATTTGTTCCAGACATGAAGTGGATACACATTGGATTCTGTGGTAAAATTGTGATACTGTTTCCACTTTGCCATTCGTATATTTCAGGTTCAATTGTTAGTTAGAAAGTGTACTTTATGCAGTGAACGAAACACTATTTTGAATGACCTGGATGGGAGATTGATTGTGATTTTAGTCGAATTTAATCTCATCAGCTAACAGATTTGAGTTCTTTGCACCGATGATACGTGACATTATGTGTAATCCAACCAGTATAATCGAATATTCTCAACATAAATTAGTGTATCACATTGAAGTGTTGAAAAATCAATTGACGAGATATGTGATCCTCATGGAGCTTCGTATGATCTTGAAACTAAGTATTGCTGAACACATCTTATTTCTACTTTGTAATGACTGCATTCTACACATCGTTGAAGAATGTTTATTGGTAAGATAATAAATTTCACAGAACTTCTATAGTGTGTGTCGTATATATATTAAGTGATGTTTTCTTCCTTTTTAGAACTACCTGAATTATTGGTTGTTCATAGATTTCAGTGCGACTGTTATTCCTGATTCAGACCTCTGTTCCTTGTTTCGAGTGTTTCTCTTCGATATGAAAATATCATTTATTTGGTTTCTTGGTTGTTTCTGTGGTATCTAATCTCAACAAAAATAAACGTTTGATTATTTGTTTTTATGAATTACTGAGCAAGGTTTGAAGGATAGTTTTTGCGTAGTAGTGCTTCTTTTGTACTTCTTTTGCACTGGAGGCAGACTTGGATGGTTTTTTGGGTTGGTTTAAACTTTGATTCCTGGAAATCTCTTCTAGCAAAGGTGCGGTCATATGCATTAATCACAGCAATTATTCCCGTTGCTCCAACAATAGTACACCACTATCTCGAGAAAATATGTGATTTCAATCGGTTAACATTTGTCATGCCTCTTCCAATGCTTAGTCAATCTGAATCAAATCTTTTAAGACGTAGGCCAACTTATATTTTACTCGTGCGATTTTCAACTGTGAAGAGGTATGCACGATGTCAAACGTTGATGACTCTTTGGGGAAAGCCCGAGCACTCTGCTAAATGTGTTTGGTGTATACTCACTTCAGACCAACACCATTTGCGGTATATTCTTGCAAATCCGTCATCATCGTCCGAACATGCGTAAGATGAGTAATAGGGCTACCTGCGTAATCTCAGTAAGTTCCTGAGCTCTCTTGATTGTTGTGGTCAAGGAACGATGGTCTGACATTGCGTAATCGCCAGCTATGTTTTTCTGAGTTCTATTATAACTTTATACCTTCGCACATGCTTTAAAATCTAACCGCCCTTGCTTCGCAACCCCATATTTGTTACTAGACAATTTTCACTTAAGTGAGCACGCATAATCACGCTCTACCGGCGAAATTACACAGCTCAAGTTGAAGTTCCTCATAGGCTTCTGCCACTCAACTCTTAAAGGGAGGACCATTATGAACTCCATTTTCCATCACCTTCAAAGTGGGTCCACTACGTGCCTAGCTTGCTTTCGATGTCCCACAACACGGTCGTCTTCAGCCGCCAGGTGTAAATGGACGTACGTCGCAGGTGGTTTTTCCAGTCAGGTAATGCCATGGAAGGTGAAGTCACTAAAAGAATACTAAAAAGGAATATTTTTCGTTTTTTCTTTGATGGGTAAACTGTTTCTGTTGATAGACAAACGTTATCATGACAAAAAAGTGGGATGAAACGCTGATAACCTGGACATAACAGACATCACTGTATCGTCCCCGTTTATATGGGAATCACGAATCTTGTACGAACAACAAACTTCGTAAGAGTATGAAGCTAATAGATATCCTTTAGCTTCAAATTCTTACAAAGTTCGTAAACTTCAATTCCTAAGAAGCCGACTGATTTCCAATACTAGATTTATTCAGCATCCAAAACCCACTATCATTTTAACGAGCTTGTGTAAACCAGTTGATTCCTTCTTGCTCGCCCCTTGGTCTTCCTGAACAGTTCCAGATCTTTGGCGGATTCCGATGCAGTATATCCAGCCACTCGTCTCCTGCAGCTCTGATCTACAGAACGGGAAGTTAAGTGTCGGTTTGTTTGCCTTAAACTGTGGTGCAGTTGGCTTCTTCAGATGTCCAGTCGCCACACAGTTGTTCGGACTGGTCGCTAGAGAGGGTTAGGGACAGTGAACAGAAACCCTAGAAAGTGTTTGTGTGAGTAAAATAAGAGGGGAGAAGTGAACTAATGAAGTAACCCGCTTACACCCAAGGCAGTTGAGGAGGGGTGCAAAGGTGTGAAGAATCTGAGTGAGGCTAACTTGTGGCTAGTGGAGGGGATGAAAAGGGCTAAAATGGTTACAATGGAACGAAAACTGGTTGGGGTGAATAGACATCACTTCGTGTTCCAGCTATATGTTGGTAGACCGTGAGTCTCTGCATGACTATCTAGCCTCCTCTTGAAGCTTTCAATAGTTGGGGTGGAGAATACCCCTGCTGGTAGTACCTTCCGGTACCCACAGACTCAGAGGGAGAAGAACTGTGAACGCACATGCGTTTTCCACCTTTGGTGGGCCTTTCTCTCGAGGTTTCCTCGAGGATCTCCGTAGTTGCCACTCGGTAGAAATACGCCATCCAGGTGACTTGGGTTACTTGGTATTTTGTAAGCCATTATTAAGTCAACTCGTCACCCTTGGTATCTAAGAAAGTATAGACCTAGGTCTTTCAGTCCATCATCATATGGTTTTCGTTGCACTCCAACAACCCCTTTTGTGGCTCGCCTCTGAAATTTCTCCAGCAGGTTCACGCCACTTTTCCTAGGTGGTGGAGTGAAGACGTTATGAACCTCTAGGTGGGGCCATACGTAAGTCTTGTAGAGCTTCAGAAGGAGTTCTGGGGTGAGGGCATCCAGTTGTCTACGCACAAAGTGTAGTAAACCGTATGCTTTTGAGGCATTACCTGGGTAATTGGAACTGGTGTCCAGTTTCTCCGTCACCGTTAAACGCAGGTCTTTTTCTAATGTGGTATGGGATAGACGTGAACCGGAGAGAGAGCTGGAGAGAGAGAGAGAGCATGATACTTTCTGGGATCAGGAGTGCGGAAGAACGTGGACCGGCACTTACCCAGGTTAAATGCCAGTTCCTTATTAGTTCCACACTCCTCTAGTATTTCGAGGTCGTTCTGTAGTGCCATAGATTCCGCTTCACAAGTTGTTGTCCTCCATAACTTGATATCATCGGAGTATAGGAGAATCAGGGAGCTGATATATTGCTGCAGGTCATTCACGAACAGTAGGAACAACAGTGGACCCAGACTTGCTTCTTGTGAGGCACCAGATGAGAATGTTCTCCAAGTTGAGTAGACCCTGTTGACTTTCGTGCAGAACTCCCTATTGTCTAAGTAGTTCTGCAGCCACGATAGTACCTGACTGAGAATACCTAACACAGCTATCTCGTGTACTAGGATCGTGTGTGAGACAATGTCTAAGGCTTTGGTGAAGTCCGGGAAACTTTCGTGGACCGCGACCTTGAGATCCCAGCATGCCGTCCAGTGATCATGGGTCGTCAGGAGGCTGGAGGTACAGGACCTACCCCTTTGAAGCAATGTTGAGCATCACTGAGTGCTCGCTTTTTGTCCAGATATTTCCTGATACGGTCGTCCACCATACTCTCCACAACTTTTGATATTACTAGTAGAAGCTATACGGATCTATAACAGTTAGGATTCTACCTGTCTCCTACTTTGAAGACGGGAGAAAGGATGGCCCGTGTACATTCTCGTGGGAGCTTTTGTTCATCCAAGGAGTGTTGGAAGAGATTACAGAGTGGGCCACTTAAGGTGCTTGCACATTCTTTCAACACAGATGGGCGGATGTCGTTGCACCCTAGGGATTTTCCGAAGCCTAACTTTCATGGCTTGTCGAGAGCAACAGCGTGAGTTATCTGTATTTCCTGTAACTCCTCAGCATCGTGTAACGTTAGGGGCTGCTCGTGCAGCTTGCACGCTCACTTTCCTGTTGGGATGTTGAGCTGTGTGTCGAACGTGGTGCTCAACATTTCAGCAATCTCCTGTCCAGAGAGGTTTTCTCCATTCGGATCTTTCATAGTGCATGCTCCTTGGCTTGTCGATTTTCTCTTTGCCATGAACCGGTATAGGTTCTTGGGATTTATTTCAAGCCTGTTGGCTAGGTTGGGCTGGAACGACCCCCTATCTCCCCGCACCATGATGTTGCTTCTATTCAGTAGAGTCAGGTGTGCGTAATGGTCATCCTGTTCTCCGGGGAGTCTCCATGTGTGCCATGCCTTTCTCTTGGCTTTTAGAGGGCGCTCAGTCATGATGTCTGCTTTCTGGTTGTTGTTACCACCAAAGGGATGTTTTGCGAGATGGCCGCCTTAATGACATCTTTTACCAGTTCTCAGTGCTGGTTGATCGATATGAAACACCAGTCCGCTGGCCACAGATCTCCTGACAGGCTTTTGTTCATACCTTCCTAATGTGCCTTGAAGTAACGCAGGTAAGGGCGAGGTCCCTCCCATGATAATGTTTCACCGATTAGCAGGTCGAGCACCACAATAGCGTGATCGCTACTTCCAACAGGAGTTTGTACCTGAACATTTTCAACCAGAAGGTGATGACTAGTCAGTAGGTAATCCAGTTAAGATGGTTTACCACCTGACCCCCAGCAGGTGTTGTTGTTGATTTTTTCCTGCAGTCCAGCCATTTGGATGGCGTTTAGCAAGCTACAGTCGAACTTCCGGCTCGATGTAGCCCCACCTTGCCCTAGGCCGGGGGTTGGAGTGTTGAGGTCGCCGGCCATTAAGATCTAGCCGTACCCCATAGTTGACACTGTGGATATTTCTTGGAGTAGTTTTTGGTTGTGTTCCAAGTTGCTACTAGGGGACCCACTGATTTCTCCAACTAGGAATTTGGTGTATTTGACCTTGGAGTGGCACCAGATAGAGTCCGGAAGCTCTGTCAGCACCGTGTCAGTGGTTTGTTCACTTCTGAGCCAATTGTTTACGTATATTGCAACCCCCACTCCGTCCCTATGTTCTCTGTCTCCCCTGGACAGAATCATGTCATCTATATTAACTTCGGTGCCCAGTTAAGTTTTTTCCTGCCTTGACTGGTGACCCGGTGTTGGGTGGAGGCTGCTGGTCTGACTCTCAACGTTTCGGCTTAGGGTTACGGTGGCCTGAGCACAGGGTGTAACTGCTGTCTGTTGTTGCCGCAGTGTTCTTGGTCTGCTTTCACGGCAGCGAAAGTTACCGCTTATGGGGCTCTTGACTTTGTACCACGTCTCCGGCACTCTGGTGAGTACTTCTGCGGATTCGAAGTTGACAACCATTAGTCTTGGTGAGGTCATGGTTGTCAGATGTGAGGGGCGTGGCAGTCTGCTAATTGTCGCAGCTGCAACCCCACTCGGCCCCATCCCAGCCGATAGCTACTCCCATTGTTTG